GTTGATGGTCCTCGTCTCTGTTGATGGTCCTCGCCTCTGTTGATGGTCCTCGCCTCTGTTGATGGTCCTCGTCTCTGTTAATGGTCCTGGTCTCTGTTGATGGTCCTCGTCTCTGTTGATGGTCCTGGTCTCTGTTGATGGTCCTGGTCTCTGTTGATGGTCCTGGTCTCTGTTGATGGTCCTCGTCTCTGTTGATGGTCCTCGCCTCTGTTGATGGTCCTCGTCTCTGTTAATGGTCCTGGTCTCTGTTGATGGTCCTGGTCTCTGTTGATGGTCCTCGTCTCTGTCGATGGTCCTCGTCTCTGTTGATGGTCCTCGTCTCTGTTAATGGTCCTCGTCTCTGTTGATGGTCCTCGCCTCTGTTGATGGTCCTCGTCTCTGTTAATGGTCCTCGTCTCTGTTGATGGTCCTGGTCTCTGTTGATGGTCCTCGCCTCTGTTGATGGTCCTGGTCTCTGTTGATGGTCCTCGCCTCTGTTAATGGTCCTCGTCTCTGTTGATGGTCCTGGTCTCTGTTGATGGTCCTCGCCTCTGTTAATGGTCCTCGCCTCTGTTGATGGTCCTCGTCTCTGTTAATGGTCCTCGTCTCTGTTGATGGTCCTGGTCTCTGTTGATGGTCCTCGTCTCTGTTGATGGTCCTCGTCTCTGTTGATGGTCCTCGCCTCTGTTGATGGTCCTCGTCTCTGTTAATGGTAGTCGTCTCTGTTGATGGTCCTGGTCTCTGTTGATGGTCCTCGCCTCTGTTAATGGTCCTCGCCTCTGTTAATGGTCCTCGCCTCTGTTGATGGTCCTCGTCTCTGTTGATGGTCCTCGTCTCTGTTGATGGTCCTGGTCTCTGTTGATGGTCCTCGCCTCTGTTGATGGTCCTCGTCTCTGTTAATGGTCCTCGTCTCTGTTGATGGTCCTGGTCTCTGTTGATGGTCCTCGTCTCTGTTAATGGTCCTCGTCTCTGTTGATGGTCCTGGTCTCTGTTGATGGTCCTCGCCTCTGTTGATGGTCCTGGTCTCTGTTGATGGTCCTCGCCTCTGTTAATGGTCCTCGTCTCTGTTGATGGTCCTGGTCTCTGTTGATGGTCCTCGCCTCTGTTGATGGTCCTCGTCTGTTGATGGTCCTCGTCTCTGTTGATGGTCCTCGCCTCTGTTGATGGTCCTCGTCTCTGTTAATGGTCCTCGTCTCTGTTGATGGTCCTGGTCTATGTTGATGGTCCTCGCCTCTGTTAATGGTCCTCGCCTCTGTTGATGGTCCTCGTTTGTTGATGGTCCTCGTCTCTGTTGATGGTCCTCGCCTCTGTTGATGGTCCTCGTCTCTGTTAATGGTCCTCGTCTCTGTTAATGGTCCTCGCCTCTGTTAATGGTCCTCGTCTCTGTTAATGGTCCTCGTCTCTGTTGATGGTCCTCGCCTCTGTTAATGGTCCTCGTCTCTGTTGATGGTCCTCGCCTCTGTTAATGGTCCTCGTCTCTGTTGATGGTCCTCGCCTCTGTTAATGGTCCTCGTCTCTGTTGATGGTCCTCGTCTCTGTTGATGGTCCTCGCCTCTGTTAATGGTCCTCGTCTCTGTTAATGGTCCTCGTCTCTGTTAATGGTCCTCGTCTCTGTTGATGGTCCTCGCCTCTGTTAATGGTCCTCGTCTCTGTTGATGGTCCTCGCCTCTGTTGATGGTCCTGGTCTCTGTTGATGGTCCTCGTCTCTGTTGATGGTCCTCGCCTCTGTTAATGGTCCTGGTCTCTGTTGATGGTCCTCGTCTCTGTTGATGGTCCTCGTCTCTGTTGATGGTCCTCGCCTCTGTTAATGGTCCTCGTCTCTGTTGATGGTCCTCGCCTCTGTTGATGGTCCTCGCCTCTGTTGATGGTCCTCGCCTCAGTTGATGGTCCTCGCCTCTGTTAATGGTCCTCGTCTCTGTTGATGGTCCTCGCCTCTGTTAATGGTCCTCGTCTCTGTTGATGGTCCTCGCCTCTGTTAATGGTCCTCGTCTCTGTTGATGGTCCTCGCCTCTGTTAATGGTCCTCGTCTCTGTTGATGGTCCTCGTCTCTGTTGATGGTCCTCGCCTCTGTTAATGGTCCTCGTCTCTGTTAATGGTCCTCGTCTCTGTTAATGGTCCTCGTCTCTGTTGATGGTCCTCGCCTCTGTTAATGGTCCTCGTCTCTGTTGATGGTCCTCGCCTCTGTTGATGGTCCTCGCCTCTGTTGATGGTCCTCGCCTCAGTTGATGGTCCTCGCCTCTGTTAATGGTCCTGGTCTCTGTTGATGGTCCTCGCCTCTGTTAATGGTCCTCGTCTCTGTTGATGGTCCTCGCCTCTGTTGATGGTCCTCGCCTCTGTTGATGGTCCTCGCCTCAGTTGATGGTCCTCGCCTCTGTTGATGGTCCGTGCGCCCGCTTCCTGATTTCAATGGCCTCTTGAATCCATCTTTTGTATTCATGTTCTTCTGTTCCTACTATTTTTGCATTGTCCCAGCCCATGATGTGATTTTCTCTTTTGCGGTGGTCTGATGTTGTCGATTTGAGGTTTTCCTGTGTTGCCTTGTCCTTGGTTGATCTTGTTGCAGAAAACAGTGACACATGTTTTCAGTTACTCCCAGACACTGGTCACCATGAGTCGTGTTTGTGCAGAAGTTCACAGCTTTCGAAATCAGAAGCAGAACCTTTTGAAATCATTCAAATTACTTAAAAAATAAATGTCAGTCTATTTTTTGATGTTTTTTGTAGTGACCACGCCTGCATGAGAGAGACCTCTGAAGATAAGTAGGGCAGCTAGAGACGGTTAGTGCTGTGATGGGAGACCTCTGGGGCAGCTGCGGCTGTAAAGTGCCAAACTGTGGTTGGGTCCTTCGGCAAGACACTTCACCCACATTAGAATGAGTCTGCTGTGTGTGTGAATGGTTGGTGGTGGGAGGGGCTGATGGCACATACTGGTTGTCTCACTTCTATAAGTGTGCCCCAGGGCAGCTGTGACTACAGCAGCAGTTTATCACCACAAGCGTCTTTGAGCACATAAAAAACCAATTCTTTATTATTACTATATAGTTATTTTCATTTTGAACTAAATAGTAAGTTAAAATAGTAAAACAGTAAGTATAGTATAAACGAACTTTTCACATTCTCCAGCCTTTTGGAACAGCCTCCACTGAACCCTCGGTCCTGCGCTGGAGTCATGGGTTCATGGGAAAAGCAGAGTGTGGAGAGCATCCTGGTCCCAGGGGTGTGTTCTGCAGAGACATGTTTTAATCTTACACTGGTCTCGTCTCACACCAGGGAACAAGCTCACTGCTTTGTTTACTCACGATGACCACTTCTCATGTTGCAAGGTCACACGCCTCATGCTCCGCGTTCCATCTCTCACAAATATAATAAAACATGCTGACGTACGTGTGTCGGCAGATGCCACGGCCAATTTATGAGCCATGTGCCTTTGACATGTGGATTAAGCTGCAGGTGACCGCAAATATGTCTCTAAAACATGTGTCATTAGGGCAATAATGTTTCTACCCTTTTCTGCAAACTGCATTTGCAGTTTTTGTGATCCGCATTGTTTTGCAAGATGTTGTTGTACATCTTGGCCATGTTTTTGTGGAGTTCAGCGGATTTTTTACTGCCAAAGCTCTTTGCTAGCAATGAACAGAGGATGTGTTTTTAAAAGTAAACACACAGTTAGAATCTGAGCTAAAGGCTTTTTGAGCAGTATTTAAGACCTACAAATCCAGAGATATCATCTTCTGAAGCGCTGACAGGTCACCGAGGGCCCCACGCATCTGCAGCACAGTGGAGGCGTCACAAGAGGCGCTACAGGAGTCCCGGCCTCCGTTGTGGGCAACTTCTACAGAGGGACTGTAGAGAGCATCCTGACCAGCTCCATCACTGGGTGGCACGGCACCAGCACTGCCTCCTGCCGAAGGAGCCTCCAGCGCATCGTGAGAGCAGCAGAGAAGATCTGTGGAGCCCCTCTCCCCACCATTAAGGACATGTACTCCACCCGTCTCACCCGCAAAGCCGTCAGAATCACCAGGGACCTACGCACCCATCACACAGGCTCTTCAGGGTAATGCCTTCAGGGAGGAGACTGCAGAATTTACGGAACAGTTCCAGTCGACTTAAAAACAGTTTAATTCACAAGGCCATCAGGAAGCTGAACTCCCTGACGTTGTCATCACTAGGATTGAGCGTATGTTGCTGGCACCGCCCTAAATTGAAGTCCAATCTAGAAAACATGACGTACTTCATTAAGGTATGAAGTTGTGTCTCATATCATTGGACCTTGACCTGTGGAGTGCCACAGGGGTCGATCCTGGGACCTCTTATGTTCAATCTCTACGTGCTGCCAGTCATTTAATGTGCAGTAACAATGTGTCCCATCACAACACGGCAGCTGACACTCTGTTAGTGCCATATTAACCAACTCTGAGAGGACAGGGACTGGCCTCCAGCTGGGACTCTGAGAGGACAGAATCCCAGCTGGTTACCAGAGTCAGGGCAAAACATACTGAATCAGCATATCATATTTATGCAGCAAAAATCCTGAAAATGTGAATGTTATAATGTTAAAAAAAACAGCAGTGTTTTGCTGTGCATACAACCGAAGGATACTATCTGCTCTTTTTAAAACTAATCCTTTTGAATGTGTGCTATATACACTTTCCTTACCTAAAGCAAGAAAGTAAGCAAGCAAGAAAGTATGTGAATAAGATAGAAAGAAAGAAAGAAAGAGAGAGAGAGAAGGTGGAACACAAGAATCCCAGTTGGACTCCCCATATTCCCACTACAGCAGACATGAGCGACCCTCCGTGTGTGCTCAGCTGGACTGACACCAGAGTGGGAAGACAGCTTTGGTATTTGTGAAGTCTCATGGAGTCATTCATTATTTGCTCTCCTTAATGACGTCACCACCACCACCACCAGAAGGATCTACTCTCTCCTGGAACAGCATTAGCAGAAAAACTCAAAGCCTTCCTGAAAAGCACAGACTTTCTCCTGTCTCTCTGTGGGCTGTTGCGTGTGCGTCCTCTGCTCATGCGCACTGACGTAGACCCCCCAGTCCCGGTCCCAGTCCCAGTCCCAGCCGTGTGCGTCTCTGTGCGGACGCGGGTGCAGAGAGAAGCCGCTCGCTTTGGTTCTCGGTCCCGTCAGAAGCCGCAGGGAGAGGCGGACAGACGCCGCAAGCTGTGGCTCCGAGGACCGCGTTTCTGAGGCTGGATTTAGGAGAGTTAAGGAGCAGAGACGGGTGAGTGTTCTATTCAGACACCTGTGTTTTTGACTACTGTGAGCTCCAGAGAGAGAGAGAGAGAGACCAGAGAGAGAGAGAGAGACCAGAGAGAGAGAGACCAGAGAGAGAGAGAGAGAGAGAGAGGGAGAGAGAGAGACCAGAGAGAGAGAGAGAGACCAGAGAGAGAGAGAGACCAGAGAGAGAGAGAGAGAGACCAGAGAGAGAGAGAGAGAGACCAGAGAGAGAGAGAGAGACCAGAGAGAGAGAGAGAGAGCGAGAGAGAGACCAGAGAGAGAGAGAGACCAGAGAGAGAGAGAGAGACCAGAGAGAGAGAGACCAGAGAGAGAGAGAGAGAGAGACCAGAGAGAGAGAGAGAGAGAGAGAGCGAGAGAGAGAGAGAGAGAGAGACCAGAGAGAGAGAGAGAGAGAGAGAGAGAGAGACAGAGAGAGAGAGAGAGACCAGAGAGAGAGAGACCAGAGAGAGAGAGAGAGACCAGAGAGAGAGAGAGAGACCAGAGAGAGAGAGACCAGAGAGAGAGAGAGAGCAGAGAGAGAGAGACCAGAGAGAGAGAGAGAGAGAGAGAGACCAGAGAGAGAGAGAGACCAGAGAGAGAGAGAGAGACCAGAGAGAGAGAGAGACCAGAGAGAGAGAGAGAGAGACCAGAGAGAGAGAGAGAGAGAGAGACCAGAGAGAGAGAGAGACCAGAGAGAGAGAGAGACCAGAGAGAGAGAGAGAGACCAGAGAGAGAGAGAGACCAGAGAGAGAGAGAGAGAGAGAGACCAGAGAGAGAGAGACCAGAGAGAGAGAGAGAGACCAGAGAGAGAGAGAGAGAGACCAGAGAGAGATAGAGACCAGAGAGAGAGAGAGAGACAGACCAGAGAGAGAGAGACCAGAGAGAGAGAGAGAGACCAGAAAGAGAGAGGGAGCGAGAGAGAGACCAGAGAGAGATAGAGACCAGAGAGAGAGAGAGAGACAGACCAGAGAGACCAGAGAGAGAGAGAGACCCGAGAGAGAGAGAGACCAGAGAGAGAGAGACCAGAGAGAGAGACCAGAGAGAGAGAGAGAGAGACCAGAAAGAGAGAGGGAGCGAGAGAGAGACCAGAGAGAGATAGAGACCAGAGAGAGAGAGAGAGACAGACCAGAGAGACCAGAGAGAGAGAGAGACCCGAGAGAGAGAGAGACCAGAGAGAGAGAGACCAGAGAGAGAGACCAGAGAGAGAGAGAGAGAGACCAGAGAGAGAGAGACCAGAGAGAGAGAGACCAGAGAGAGAGAGAGAGAGAGCGAGAGAGAGACCAGAGAGAGATAGAGACCAGAGAGAGAGACAGACCAGAGAGAGAGAGAGACCAGAGAGAGAGAGGGAGCGAGAGAGAGACCAGAGAGAGATAGAGACCAGAGAGAGAGAGAGAGACAGACCAGAGAGACCAGAGAGAGAGAGAGACCCGAGAGAGAGAGAGAGAGACCAGAGGGAGACCATCAGAGAGAGGAGAGATACCAGAGGGAAAGACCAGAAAGAGAGACTGAAGAGGGAGAAACCAGAGGGAGACCTTCAAAGAGAGGAGAGGGAGAGACAAGAGGGAGACCATCAGAAAGAGAAGAGAGACCAGTAAGAGAGACCAGAAAGAGTGACTAAAGAGGGAGAGACCAGAGGAGACCGTCAAAGAGAGGAGAGGGAGAGACCAGCAGGAAAGGCAAGAGAGAGAGAGACCATCAGAGAGAGACCAGAGGGAGAGATCAGAGAGAGACAAGATAGAAAGACCAGAGGGAGACCAGAGATAGAACAGAAAGAGAGCGACTTGAGACAGAGAGAGACTAGAGAGAGATCAGAGGGATGCGCAGGCTGTGGCACTGAGGATTGTGTTTCTCGGTTGGATTTAAGCGTCTGGAGAAACAGAGGCTGGTGAGTGTTAACAGAAGCTTCTATTCTGTCACCTGTGTAGCGGTGTAAAAGCGCTCTGCAGGGATGTAGCTGTGTGTCCGGGATTGTTTCAGAAGGCAATAAAGTTTATTCTATTCCAGAAGGTCATACAGATTTAGGCAAGGCAAGTTTTTTTGTATAGCACAGTGCATATGAGGTATTCAAAGTGCTTAACAAAACAAGAAGAGAAACATTTAGTAAGTAAGTAAGTAAGCTTTATTTATATACCGCCTTTCACAGACCAGAGTCACAAAGCGGTTTACAATTGTTATTTTTTGGGCACTTATCCTCTCACTCCACACAGAGATGGGAGCGGGGTCGCCGAACAGGAGGCGCATGCCAGACCTATTGTACATATTTTTTGTCACAAAAGGCTTTGAAATGACAGATAATCTCCTTGGTCTCTCTCTCTGGTATCTCTCTGGTATCTCTCTGGTCTCTCTCTCTGGTCTCTCTCTCTGGTCTCTCCCTCCGGTCTCTCTCTCTGGTCTCTCTCTAGTCCCTCTCTCCCTGGTCTCTTTCTGGTCTCTCTCTGGTCTCTCCCTCTGGTCGCTCTCTGGTCTCTCCCTCTGGTCGCTCTCTGGTCTCTCCCTCTGCTTTTTCTCTCTCTTTTCTCTGGTCTCCCACTGCTCTCTTTCTCTCAAGTCTCTCTCTCTCTCTGGTCTCTCTCTCTCAAATCTCTCTCTCTCGCTCGTCTCTCCCTATGGTCTTTCTAGTCTCGCTCTCTGGTCTCACTCTGGTCTCTCTCTCTCTCTCTCTCTCTGGTCTCTCTGCCTGGACCTCACTCAAGGCAACTCAAAGTGCTTCACAAAACAAGAAGAGAAACATCAAAATCACACAAGGCTTTAACATCAGATTATCACAGCAGATTAAAAAGAGTGAAGACACAATGACAAGGTTTATTTGTATGCAAAATAAATAAAACAATAAAAATCAATCAATAGTCTGAGTAACTGTGTAGCCTCTAGCCTTCAATAGGACAAACCCCTCAACAATAAAAGATTCGATGATCTAAATAAACGTTAGCTTGTACTATAGTTTTTCCTAGTCTTTCCCCATGGTTTTTCCTCCCGGCGGCAGATTCTCCTGTGTCTCGGAGGTTCATGAAAAAAAAAGATTTGAAAAGGAGTAGAGCAGGAGAAAGTTAGATGGTGGACAGACTGTGCCCACCTGGTGCCAGAAAAGTCCCCAGTGCAGGACACGCTGGAACGCCCAGGGATCAGGTTCCTCTGTCAGCTGCTTTACCCAGAATGCAGCTCTCTCAGGTCTGGGCATGTGAGCCGACAGTAGTAAGAGCAGAGAGGAATAAAACAGACTTCATCGGATTTATGACCTTTTTAATGTCTTTTTCTATATGTCTGTAGTTACCACGCACAGTCAACATAAATATGGACAATGCACAACAGAAAAAAACACAAACAAAATCAAACATTTAAGATAAAAATGAAAAGACTACAAATAATACATTTAAAAAAAAAAAAAAAAAATCAAAAACTTTCCTCATTCTATCCATTGCTCATATTTCCTCACTCAGAATTACAAGGGTCTCTCTCTCTGGTCTCTCTCTGGTCATTCTCTGTTTGCTCTCTGTTATTTCTCTGATCTCTCTGTTCTCCCTCTTTCTAGTCTCTCTCTGCTCCCTCTCTCTGGTCTCTCTCTCTGGTCTCTCTCTCTAGTCTCTCTCTGCTCCCTCTCTCTGGTCTCTCTCTCCGCTCTCTCTCTCTCTCTGCTCCCTCTCTCTGGTCTCTGTCTCTCTCTAGTCTCTCTCTTGTCTCTCTTTGGTCTCTCTCTGGTCTTTCTCTGGTCGCTCTGTTCTCCCTCTCTCTGGTCTCACTCCCTCTCTCTGGTCTCTCTCTCTGGTCTCTCTCTCCGCTCTCTCTCTCTGCTCCCTCTCTCTGGTCTCTGTCTCTCTCTCTGGTCTCTCTCTGATCTATCTCTGCTCTCTCTACTCTCTCATTATTGTTGGTAGATTCTGTCGTTGTCTTCTTCCTTCTTCCATGAGTGATGTTTGGACTTTTCACCTTCACAGCTTCATGACCAAAGCTTTCACTTCCTCTTTCACATCCTCTGTTGCATCATGGGGCATTTAAAAAGTCTTTCCTCTTTGTACAACCATGTGTGTAATACTAGTGCTGAAAATTCTCCAATTCACTTTTATTTTCCATAGAACACTATAAAAACTTTGACCAAAGCACTGCACACAAGTTACAGAACAATACAAGATAACATCAACTTTTTTTGATCTCACAATGGAGAAATTTACAACGACCCCAAAATGAAAACAAAAATGTGTGAGTTTTAAGAAATGGTTTAAAAGTAGTATAATCAGTTTTATTAAAGTGCAGTGGCAGCTCTTTACAACAACAACAATGTAAAGTTTCACTGCATGAAACGGCCGGAAATTTACCTCATTTTTGGCAGTTTACGACAATTTTCAACCCGCGTTGGTGCAGTGTGTTGGAAGTATCTCAGACCAAAGTACATCTGAGACATGTCTGAGGAGCACAGGGACTGGCCTCCTGCTGGTGACTCTGAGGAGCACAGGGACTGGCCTCCTGCTGGGACTCTGAGGAGCACAGGGACTGGCCTCCTGCTGGGACTCTGAGGAGCACAGGGACTGGCCTCCTGCTGGTGACTCTGAGGAGCACAGGGACTGGCCTCCTGCTGGGACTCTGAGGAGCACAGGGACTGGCCTCCTGCTGGGACTCTGAGGAGCACAGGGACTGGCCTCCTGCTGGTGACTCTGAGGAGCACAGGGACTGGCCTCCTGCTGGTGACTCTGAGGAGCACAGGGACTGTAGCAGGAAAAACACATCCATCCACACAAACAAAACAAATAAATTGATTATTATAAAAATCTAACAATAGTAATGATAAAATGCAATGCAATGGACATGGACTTTGTGTTTGAACTTATATTGTTGTGTTATGTTCATGGGTTTGTACGGACTCCACTGCATTAGATTCAGATTCATTTATTTATTTGCCATTTGCAGTAAAACCACCTTGGAATACACCTGCAAAAGTCCCCTGTGTGCACAAGACAAATCATATGGCTTCATGTTACTGGTATTTTCTGTGGTTTTTTAAAAGTTTTTATG